GGATCCAAACCTGTGAACCCTGGATGGCTGAAGCAGAGCGCACAAACTTAACCACTACGCCACCAGGCGAGCCCCTGGAAATGTTTTTTAAGTTCCCAGATCTGAGACATTGTGAGGCAGTATGAAGGGAGTGAAGGCGCTGCCTTTTTCTTCAGGGACTTTGTTTGGGTGCTGATGATACGCCCATATAAGGGACACATACTGTTGCATGTGAGGTTCTCTTTCTTCCAAGAACCAGAGAGACCCAACCTAAGCTGTACCATCCAACTCGAACCAGGACCTTCAACAGCTTGGAAGGGGCGCAGTACAAAGTCAAAAGTACTTCAGAGCTGAGCTAAGCAGAACCAACAAACACTTTCTGGGGTCAAAATGAGCTCTTCTTTCTGTGGCTTCACAGCTCACATGTCAGAAGGGTATACCTTTGAGGTTAGGCAGACTGGAATTTGACCCTAGCTCCACAGCTCCTGGCCAGGTGTCCTTCAGCAAGCTACTTGACCTTTCTCTCTGAGCCTTCCTTTCCACATCTTTACAAAGAGCCTCCAGACACCTGCGTCGTGGGGCTGTGGTGAGACGCAGTGAAGAAATACAGAAAGCTGTCACACCCTCTCTAACCTGGAGCAGGTGCTCATACCTGCAGGCTTGTTTCTAGCCCAGGTCAGAAATAAGCTAACATCTATATTTAAACAGAGCACAAAGCAGGTATCTGAACCTGGGTAGGACTTTCTTAATTGTTGGAGGAACTTGTCTGCAAATGGGCCCCATGGGCTGTAACAAATGCAAATCGTATAAGAGTTTGCAGCCATTCCTGACCTCATCACCTGAGCAAAGACATCCATCCAAGGGCTAAGCATTGTAGGAGGCAGGAGAGGTGAAAGATGCGAATGGAAGGTCTCCAGAGGGAAGGTTTGGACTCGATCCTGAGAGAAAACTTACTAGTGCCCCGAGGAGGCTCGGTGTCCCTGTTTTCCAGGCTCATGCCAATTGTTATCCTCTATATATGTGTCTGTCTTTCCCAGCTCTGGCTAAGCCTGCAGTTGGAAATGCCAAGAGAAGCTGCTGTGATCGAACCCAGGCATAGGGTGCGTCGTAAACCCCACTCTATGGTCCTGCATTCGTGACTTGTGCAGCCAACGTTTGCAGAGTCCTGGGGCTTGAGGTTTTCAGAAAGTGTCAGAAAAGCCATGAACTGAAGTAGGGGTAGGAGTGGGTCTGGCGAGTATCCACACTGGACCCTGTTATAACCAGGACAACCTCTTTGCATCCCTTCCCACATGGAATCAGGGTTGAATTTCCCAGCAGAGACAGCCGACTGAGTTCTCACAGAGGCAGTGGGTCGATCTGAAGGTGACACTTCCATAATTTCACTCTCATTTCCAGCTAGGACAGGTGTGACAGTAAGATCCCCCATTAAGGACCTTGTCCTCTGATTTCAAGAAAAAAGCCAGCTATCAACTCAAAGAGAATTGCAGGTGTTTTAAAAAAAAAGATGCAGTGATGGGCTGGGGCTTGCCTGCTGGCTGTACTTAATGCTTCAAAATAGAGACCAATTAAAGGTTTACACTGGGCCGTTGATCATGTCAGATTACGGAGTTCCTTCCCAGAGCTCCTTTCTGGGGCTAATAAATGCCCCGCACAACAAGAAGTCTCCTGTCTTGTCAGCGATGACTCAGTCCCTTTGCCCTTAGATCTTGTCATCAGCACAGCCCCATGAGTGGCCCATCTGGTGAGGAATTTTGTTTTATCTCAGTATTTAGAAAATCCCATTAGGACAAAGCATCTGAGACTGCAGGATTTCCATCAAGGCCTCATATCATCTCTGGAGCCATAGATACATCCTGAGGTTATTTGATAGTTAAGCCTCCCCAACTCTTCAAAATTTGCTGTGTTTTGTGGTCATTGTGCTCTGGGCTTCAGCCTGCCTTGGACATTCCCATCCCCAGATGCTGTGGACAAAATCTTGTGGATGACTGATGGACTAGAGGCTTCCTTCCCATCCGGATATTTTGTCAACTCCTGGCATGGCGATCACGCACGAGGGACATGCAAGGGAACAAACACCAGGCAGCCTCCAGAAAAGCCACTGCAAAGTAGATTTGGAATCAGACTCTCCTAGACCTGATAGATAGATTTTAAAACTCTAAGTATTTCTAAATAACTTGGCATGAAGTTAGGGGTCAAGTGATATTTATCTGTTTCTTATTTTTTGGTCCCCAAATTTACATTTCTGTGCGGTAAGGTTGCTGAACAAATGAATATTTGCATACAGAGATGCAGGCAGCGCAGGAGTCAAACAGCTGTGAACGTTTGGAAATACTTGGAGCTCCCTCTCTGATTAGCTCCTGCATTTTTGTTTTTTATTCCCCAAGCAGACACTCACTCTGACCCAGATCACTTGGTGATTAGGGTCAATTCATGTTTAAGCTTTGAAGATTAGAGACACCAGAAATGGCCACCACTTCCTTTTCTATTTTCTTTTAAAAATTTTAAACTTGAGAAACTAAAACCTTGAAAAAAAAGCATAATATTCTGAGTTCACTAAAGGAATTTATCCACATTTCTGCCATGTTAAATGTTAGCAAAGTTTATATTGGACTGTCATATTTCTTTACTTTATTCACCAGCGTACAAGATGTCGATCTCAACATCTGGTTTTTAATAACCCTCGACATCTGGGAGCTCCTTTTTATTCCTGTGGTGGACGAGGCACAGTAGTGATATTGGCAGTGTATATTTTCAAGCTACAACTCCTGTCTGTTTCAATCATAATTAATTACCACTTTTTAATATATTTAATTTGCTGAAAGTGATTTGCATTAGACCACATTTCACTGTTGAGAAAATAGTGGTAGGTTTTGGTGGCAGTGGCTTTTCTCTTTTCTTTCTTCTTTTTTAAAATTTAAAGCCCTCTATGAATGGATTTGAAACAAACAATGTATACATGCTATTGGGTTTTAAATGCAAAATGAAATAAACTGGTCTGCAAAAAATGGATGTTATAGCCATTTAGAAGCAGTTAGTGGGGGCTGTGGGCTGCATTTTAGAGAAAGCCTCCTATTTTGTTTTGTGACTTTGGTAAATCATAGCATCTCTCTGTGCTAGAGTTTTCCTATAGCAGAGACTTTGGGGGTCAAGAACCTTGTAATGAAAGCTAGGGCCTCCATCCGGAGAAATATACTTACACACATACCCCAACGTTCTGCATTGAATTTGAAGGGGTTACTAGACCCCTTGAAACACATTATGGAAGCTGGAGGGACCCAGGCTATAGACTCTCCTTCATTAGCATAAAAAGGGACATCAACTTTGGTTTTCTCCAGAAACTGAGAGGAAGTTTAATGAATGTAAAAATATATATCTCCCAAGTTATGTAGGGAAAAGGGAGGTTTATTGCCAGGAGCAATTAGATCTGTGGTCTTTGAACAGACCTAGACTGTGTAGGGGTAAACAAACACAGGTAAATTTACAGGAGAAGACCCAGATAAACGATCAATTGTACCTTATTTTTTGCCAGAATATTCCTATCTAAACTGTCCAGTGCAAATTCATACTGAGTTGTCCATTTCAGAGTGTGCAAATCACTTGATTGACTTATATCAATTGGGGATACTTAACCCTTTGTGGGCCATAGACCCCTTTGGCAGTCTGGTGAACTCCCTGAACCTCTTCTCAGAATAGTATTTTTAAATGTGTAAAATAAAATACACAGAAATACAAAGGAAACAAATTATATGAAAACTCAGTTCAAAGACCACAGATCTAAATCCTTGACTAGATGAAAATTACCTTGGCCTATTGGCAAGATTAGGCTGAACTGCGTGAACTTGCTGTTTTCTAGATAAAAAATCGTCAAATATTGGCATTTTCATATGATTCAACCAAATATTACAACTTAAGCAATAAAGATCCAAATAGTGAGAAAATGTTCCAAATTATTTTTTTTCCTGTGCCTGATTTTCAAAACAAAGAAGCAAATCATGGCAAAACCTGGTTTCATTGGAGATTTATTAAAAGACACAGCTCCCAAAGCATGTGTGAGACCAGGATATGAACCACTCAGTCTTCTACACTTTTTTTCGATCTTTGCAGTAAATAGTGAGAATTCTTGTTCAAAACAGGACCTTGTGATGTTGGATATACTTCTATCTTCTAAGATTTAATTTCTCTGCCTATGGGCCACTTTACTGAGTGAGGAGTGGCCAGAGCCATTCTGGAAATGTTTTCAACAACAAGAATTCAGACCAAATAAGTTTCAATTTATCCTCAGTTGAACATAATTTTAAGTTAAACAAAACTTCCTTTCTACAAACATTCTACTGAATTGAAAGTTTACTCTCTTTTCTTTGAAACTTATTTGATTGCAAATGTATAATCATCCCATGCAAATATATAATCATTCAATGGCATGCACATCCTCTTTTATGCTGAGAGCAAAATAGAACCTGACAAATCGAGAAGATCACAGCGTGTTTGAGCCTTTGTGAAATAACCGACGTGAATTATCGCATGCTACAAAAGTTTGTTCCACCCAAGTAGATGGAGTTTTTTTTTTTTAATTCTTCTTCAGCCTTTATTGATACTTCAAGCTTAAGAGAAATTAAGGGTATTTGATTACTATAATTACTTCTCTGCTTACTTAAAAGGTTTAATCTACTCCTTAGGCGTATGCAATTCAGATTGCATGCTTTCCAAAAAAATAATCGTCTGCTAATGTAGACTAATTTTAATCTTTTAATCCAGTCTTGACATAGAGTCAGAGCTGGGTGGGTGGAATGTTTTTGTGTGGGGGTTGCCATAGATGCAAAACTCAGTTATGTATTTGACAAGTCAGTGATGTGGAACTTAAGTTACTATAGATTTTTTTTTCCTTGCTCTTTAAGATTAAAAAACAAAGTGAAGATCAGTGTGCCTTTCCAGTGCATCACGGTGTAACTAACCTTCTCTTCTTTCATTCCGGTGCTCCCCTCCTCTCCGTGCACCTCCCTACCCCGGGCCGGCCGCAGGATGACGAGGAGGGCATATGGGCATAGCCGGGCCTGTAAACCAAAGTTCCAGTTTTGTTTTGAGGGGTGAGAAACCATCTTTTATATCATTTTTCTTTTAAAAATTGCATTCTAGTGTTGTATTGTGTGCGTGCTCAATTGTGTTCGCTGATGTTTGTGACTGTGCCCTGTGTTTGCTTCTGTGTTCTGTTACCATCCCCAAGAGCCTCCTCCTTCCTCCTCCCCCTCCCCGCAACCACATTGTTGCTCTGCCTTGTTGGGGCTGGGTTGAGCACGATTCAAATGTTTCTGTGTTATTTACAATGTAAACTATGCCCTTGCTAGGATTTATACACACTTTTTAAGGCATGATTGTGGACTCAGAAATTGTCACAATTCTCCAGTCGTGGTTTTCAGCCGACTGCTTGCTTTTACCAGATATGCCAGTGTGGTGTGACTCTCACGTCCTTCTGGTTGTGTCAGATGTTTGGGAAGGAATAAGGAAAATAAAACTATGTATCTTCGTGGAGCTGAAACTATCATCTCTAAGAAGCCCATTTAATGGATTGTGCTCTCTCTACTATGGCAGTTCTGAAGAAAACACAAGGATCAAGGCATAGTGATGGTGAAAGGGTAACTGTACTGCTTTAAATGAATTAGAATAGAAATATTAATATTGGCAGGTCTCATTAGTGGCATTATATCTGTTGTTTTTTATAATTGCACTTCTATGGAGCTTTGCGTTATAAATTTCTTGCATTGCATTTTTCAGAGGGTTTTGCGCTTTTGAAGGTTGATTTTTAGCTATTAAGAACCCACCCTTTATTTCTGTTCTATCTAGTGGCACGTGTAATTGCTACACAGTTATAAATGGAACATTGAACTCTAGTGACTTTTGCTGCGGGAATCACATCTCTTCAGGATACTGCCAGGCTATTTAACTTGAACACCAAGTCACAAACTCCCTGGAGTTGAATATACCTGTGGTTACCTAGAATATGCTGTTGAACTTCATGACATGGCATATGCCACTTTGTTCAGAACAAGGAATGTGGTAGATTGTGTGCTATCGTGATTTTTTATGGTCAAAAAGTACTCAACGTGCAGTTCTTTTTCTGGGACAAACATGAAATGTCACAGTGCTGGAGAATTACCAGGTCTGTGATTAGAGGGGCAGTTTGGGGGATAACTTAGCAGGTGTGCCCTTCCTCAAGTCTTGTCTTCATATTCTATGGCAGTCGTGCTTCAGGTGAATTTTAAAACAATAACTGGTGGTTTTGCCTGTGGGTGACAATTTTATTAGTGTGTTTCACTGCTTGGTTGAACCTATTGTAGGTGCCACCAATGAGTCAGATTGCTTTCTCTGGTCCTGCAGGGAATACACAGGGGTTTGATTTTCAGACACAATATCTTTCCGAGTAGTAAAGATGTAACACCTCCTGGATCCATTTGCTGCCAGTAAAATCTACATCCTGATTACATCATTTATCTCCTCTCTTCTCCCTTTCCTGGGTAAAGGGAAAAACAACACTGGAATGAACTCTTCCAGATGCAAAGTGGTTCCAAAGGGAAGCTTGTCAGTACGAGGAGGTGAGAAAACCAGAGAAATTCCTAAAGTTCTGTCTGGGAGACTCTCTCCCTATCTAGGGAAAACTTTAAGAGAAATATCATCTTTACTCATACAGAAAAGCTAATAAAAGCATAAATTGACCTCAAACAACATTACATGAGAAGTAAAGGTTTTACAATGTTAAAAAGCAAACATGAGGGGCCGACCCCGTGGCTCAAGCGGTTAAGTGCGCGTGCTCTGCTTTGGCAGCCCAGGAGTCACGGGATCGGATCCCAGGCGTGCACCGACATACCGCTTGTCACGCCATGCTATGGTGGCATCCCATATAAAGTAGAGGAAGATGGGCACAGATGTTAGCTCAGGGACAATCTTCCTCGGCAAAAAAAAAAAAAAAAAGTAGGAGGATCAGCATCGGATGTTAGCTGAGGGCTGATCTTCCTCACAAAAAAAAAAGAAAGCAAACGTGAAACCACAACATGCATGGACTAGATAGGCAAAGGAAGGTTCTATGAGTTTGGGGCTTATCTTGAGAAGTGTAGGTCCTACATGGGGCTCTTCTATGAAGCTGCTTCTTCTGCCATCATAAATGTTAAGGCGCTGGGCTGCATTTGTGTCTCCTCCTGAATAATAAAGATTTTTATTACTCTTTCGCAAGATTCATGACATCCACCCTGCCATCCCCTGTGATAGGAACCTCGTTGTCATCCTCAGGGTGGAATTGGTGCCAAGGCCCATAGAAAGCCTTGCTTTGTTTAAGGCAAATTGGGACAATGGTGTTAAATAAACCCCTACCCCCTTTATTCCTCCACGAATTTCCGAAAACACTGTGTACCCCAGAAAACAAATGTCTTCTGAAAGTTAGTCAATATATAATCCTACTTTAATATGTTGTAATAAATTTTATAGGCTTCTGAGAAAAACTACTTATCTTTCTTTATGACTCCTTTAAACAAGTTTGCTCAGATATCCTCAGGCTTTTAAAACCATATCTTAAGGATTTAAATAATGAGATCCTGGGGAAACCTTCTATTTTTGAACAGCCGTTGCATGTTTTGAGTCGTGTTATAATCTGTAGGGCCTAAGGAGACATTAAATTTATAACTAAAGATGGATAATAGTGGCACATTAAAAATTAACTGTTTTGAATATTTTGATTTATGGCCCTTATAAAAGAAACATTACAAGAAGTTATTTTACTAGGCATCAGTAATATGCTTATAATAGCATCAGAAGGCCTTGACTTGAATCTGGTGTTTTGGTGCTGAAATGAATCATAATTTAAGAAAAGTCGCTCCAGAAATTATAACAAATTGGAATTAACGTAACAACCCTGACAGCTCCTCCCCTTTTTGCCACTTCTAGATACTAGACCAGGCCTGATTTATTTGTCTCTCCGTGATCATGCAAGGGTGGTGTTTTCTGAGAGCAAAGTGAACTGGGCGAGGTTCGCTTTTCTGAAGAGTTTTAGCAGCCCCTAGAGCTAGCCTTTTCCCTTAACCCTCACACCCAGGCCTGTGTATCAGCGTGTGACCTGTGCAGTCTGCAGAACCCTGAGCTTAGAAGGGCTCCACTCTTGGTTTAATGCTCCGCCGTCACTGTCTTGAAATTCTTAGTAATTTTTGAACAAGGGCCCCCACCCTTCCATTTTGCACTGGGCCTCACAAATTATGTAGTTGGTGCTGCTTAGATCCACCATATACTCTGTCTCCAACTTTTCTCTACTCCCTTCTCTATTGGCTCATCCCCACTCCTGTTTTCTTATGTCTAGAATTTTCCTTTGGCCTGACTTATTGTTCTGGTTTTCTCACAGAGACTCCATGGGATAACGTTTCCAGCAAATCGTTGCCCTCATGGGCATCCCTGCAATGCGTATTCATCCACTGTCCTCTCACCCTCCCGCTTTTGATTGTGAAAATGTGGTCCTGGAGCCCTTACTACATTTTCTGTCTTGCTTTGCAAAATACAGAAAAAGCAGCTGCTTAATTCTCCATTGCTTTCCTTCAGAAAAATCCTCTCGATGTAGCAAAATGGAGGTGCTTTTCTTGGACCCCCAAGAGGCACTTTGATTTGTGGACATTCAGTGAGGTGGGGCAGTGAGGGACCAAATCAAGGCACCTGTGAGGTCTAGTCCCACATCTGCCTTGACATGTGAATGTTTCAGCTTTTACTGTGAACTCTTGTAACTGAGCAGACAGAACACAGGATCATTTTTATTTCTTAAACCACTAGAAAGGAATAAGTCTTTTTAGATTGAAAACATATGCAAATCTTTAGGACTTGGTTCATAAAAATAGAGATGTGGGCATTAACAGCTTTGGCAAGAGGCAGTGATGCTAGTAGATGCATCCTGTTCAAAATGGAGAATTGTAGCTCCATGGCACCAGCACGTGGGCAGTGTTATGGTGAGTGCAAGTATGAATCACAGAGCACTTAGACACGAGGAAGGGGTTTTTCACACATAGAAGCAGTCCTCAAAGGCTGGTGGAAATCCCCGCTATGCCTCCTCTCAGGAAGAGTGAAGAAGGAGATATTTTGTTATGGCTGGAAAGTTTATACCTTCCTTGCCTTCTCTTAGTAGCAAAGGTCTAGAAACTAGGCCTGTGCTCATCCTAGGGCAAGAGAAATTCAGGTGCTGGAAAAGAAGTTGTGGAAGGAGCCCTGGGCTTTCAGTCGCCTCAACCAAAGTCCTGGTTTCTCTGCAAAGTGGAGATTTCCTTTTATACTTCCTGGACAGGTATACCAACTAGTGTTTTTAATTCAACCTATATTTCCTATGACTGAGGATCTGATGTATCTCCTTCTTGTGCCGTTGGCTGCTAAGTCTTTACTTGCGTTCATTCTTTTATCCATTCATTCAATCATTTTTCACTTATTCATCCTTCTTTCATCAAATGGTTAAATTCTTGGTTAGATGCTGAGAAAACAATGATGAGTAAGGTAGACATGGTTGCTACCCTGTGGATCTTACAATCTAGTTGAGAGAAACAGACCATAAAGAATTAAACATATGAATGGAAACCTTATACATTTTGATCATTGCTTTTATGGAAACCATGAAGACATCAAGATTAATAAGAGGAACCTACTTGTTAATCTACCCAGAAATGATGTTCAGCAAGCATGTCTCCGAGGAAGTGAGTTTTATGGCAAGTCTTAAAAGGAGGAGAGTCTGGGGGTATCCATGCCAGGATTGTGTTTGGGAGGTGATATCAGGCAGGTGTGCAAAGGGCTGAAGGTGGGAAAGAGCTTTATGGGCTGAAAGAGCTCGAAGACCATAACTCTGAGTGGAGAATAAGACAGTGAGATGAAGATGAGGAAGTGGAATGGGACCAGATTATGTAGGGCCTTTTAGGCCAGGGTAGAGAGTTTGGTTTTTAGCCTAAGAAAAATGAAAAAAAAATTAGAGGCTCTTAAGCAGGAACATGACGTGATTCGCTGTCTGTTGTAGAGCAACCCTGGCTGCTGCACAAAGGGTGGATTGTCACGGCAGGAAGAGCAGGAGTAGGGGCTGTTCCAT